ATTTGTGAGCACATTGCAAACTTACTGACAACAATAAATAGTAACTAATGAGTAAATAATACTTTCAATTGTGAAGTATTGATTATTGAATTTGTATTAATGATTTACAGTCCTGACCTGCTCTTTGGTAAAGATGAAAGTTGTATGGTTTTTTAAGAAGTATACTTTAAAATTACTTCTAATTGTACAGAGTGTTTTGTTTTTAACTTAGTTTTTTTAATGACATACCCTATATACTTCTACATATTTTGATTGGCCCCTTCTCAGGCTTTAGAACTATTTTTGAAATTCTGATGCGACGTTGCCACGTTATTCCAATTTTCTTAAAGTATGTCTTACAAATATCGATATTATAGATGTTTTCAAATAGAACACAGTTTTTTGTTCTCATTCTTGTACTTAGTTGATGTGTCTGTTAACAAAGTAAAAAATCGCAGTAACTGCCAACTTTAAATATAGAAAATACTTAACAAAAAAGAAACAGAACAAAGAGTAGAATACGATGCAATAGGAAAGGTGTTTTTATTTGAAAAAAAAAAAAATGAAATATCACTATTTGAAAATTGTAACAATTGAAACTTATATACCAGGTGTCTGGAAAATGGTGGATTAACTCTCCGCTATGTTCTTAACAATCAACTGGCGATTTTGGGAAAATTGGGAAAAAAATTCCTTCTCACATTTTGGTGGAATTATAATGATTTTAAAATTAGTTTAAAAATTCTACTAGCATCCCTATCTTTACTTAGAGGGTATTTCATTTGTCAAAATCACTTTTATCTTAGTAAGTACTAGCCCCGCCCACCCACCCTCTATTTTCTTAGGGGGTGTGATTTGCCAAAATCGATCTTATTTCAGCAGGTACTAACCCCGCCCACCCGCCCTCTATTTTCTTAGGGCAATCTCATTGCTAAAAGCAGTCTTATCTTAGCAAGTACTATCCCCGCCCACCCACCCTCTATTTTCTTAGGGCGTATGTGATTTGCCAAAATCGATCTTATTTTAACAGGCACTAAACCCGCCCACCCGCCCTCTCTATTTTCTTAGGGAAATCTCATTTGCTAAAACCAGTCTTATCTTAGTAGGACTAGCCCCGCCCACTCACCCTTTCTTTTCCTAGAGGGTATTTGATTTGTCAAAATCACTTTTATCTTAACAAGTACTAGCCCCTCCCACCCACCCTCTATTTTCGTAGGGGGTATCTGATTTGCCAAAATCACATACCCTCTAAGAAAAGAGAGGATGGGCGGGGCTAGTAGCTAAGATAAGAGAGATCTTGGCAAATCAGATACCCTCTAAGAAGAGAGGGTGGGTGGGTGGGGCTAGTACCTGGTAAGATAAAACTGATTTTGGCAAATCAGATACCCTCTAAGAAAAGAGAGGGTGGGTGGGCGGGGCTAGTAGCTGCCAAGATAAGACTGATTTTGGCAAATGACATAGCATCTAAGAAAATAGAGGGCGGGTGGGCGGGGTTTAGTACTTGCTAATAAGAGAGCGATTTTTGTAAATGACACCCTCTAAGAAAAGAGAGGATGGGCGGGGCTAGTTCTTACTAAGATAAGAGTAATTTTGGCAAATCAGATACCCTCTAAGAAGAGAGGGTGGGTGGGTGGGGCTAGTACTTGCTACGATAAAACTGATTTTGGCGAATGAGATTCCCTCCAAGAAAAGAGAGGGTGGGTGGGCGGGGCTAGTAGCTGCTAGGATAAGACTGATTTTGGCAAATGAGATCCCCTCTAAGAAAAGAGAGGGTGGGTGGGTGGAGCCAGTACCTACTAAGATAAAGCTGATTTTGGCAAATGAGATTCCCTCCAAGAAAAGAGAGGGTGGGTGGGCGGGGCTAGTAGCTGCTAAGATAAGACTGATTTTGGCAAATGAGATACTCTCTAAGAAAAGAGAGGGTTGGTGGGTGGAGCCAGTACCTGCTAAGATAAAGCTGATTTTGGCAAATGAGATACCCTCTAAGAAAAGAGAGGATGGGTAAGCGTGGTTAATACCTGCTTAAATAAGACCGATTTTGGCAAATGACATACGTAATTTTATAAAAGTAAAATTGGCAACACTGCACGCACCTAATGCATGAATACCAAAATTAGTCTTATTCTAATAGGTACTAGTACTGCCCACCCATCCTCTCTTTTCTTAGAAGGTATCTGATCAGCCGAAAGCAGTTTTAGGTTAGCAGCTACTTCCCCGCTCACCCACCCTCTGTTTTACTACAAGTTATGTCATTTGCCAATATCGATCTTATTTTAGCAGGTACTAACCCCGCCCACCCGCCCTCTATTTTCTTAGGAAAATCTCATTTGCCAAAAGTAGTCGTATCTTAGCAGGACTAACCCCGCCCACCAAACCTTTTTTTTTCTTTGAGGGTATCTCATTTGTCAAAATCACTTTTATCTTAGAAAGTACTATCCCCGCCCACCCACTCTCTATTTTCTTAGGGAGTATGTGATTTACCAAAATCGATCTTATTTTAACCCGCCCATCCGCCCTCTCTATTTTCTTAGGGAAATCTCATTTGCTAAAAGCAGTCTTATCTTAGTAGGACTACCCCCGCCCACTCACCCTTTCTTTTATTAGAGGGTATCTCATTTGTCAAAATCACTTTCATCTTAGCAAGTACTAGACCCGCCCGCCCACCCTCTATTCTCTTAGGGGGTATGTGATTTGCCAAAATCGATCTTATTTCAGCAGGTACTAACCCCCCCCCCCCCCCTATTTTCTTAGGGAAATCTCATTTGCCGAAAGCAGTGGTATCTTAGCAGGACTAGCCGCGCCTACCTACCCTTTCTTTTCTTAGAAGGTATCTCATTTGTCAAAAGCAGTCGTATCTTAGCAAGTACTAGCCCCGCCCACCCACCCTTTATTTTCTTAGGGGGTATGTGATTTGCCAAAATCGATCTTATTTCAGCAGGTACTAACCCCGCCCACCCCCCACCCCCTCTATTTTCTTAGGGAAATCTCATTTGCCAAAAGCAGTCGTATCTTAGCAGGACTAGCCGCGCCTACCTACCCTTTCTTTTCTTAGAAGGTATCTCATTTGTCAAAATCACTTCTATCTTAGCAAGTACTAGCCCCGCCCATCCACCCTCTATTTTTTTAGTAGGTTCTAAGGAATCAGTTGTTGCCAATTTTACTTTTATAAAATTACTTTTTTTTTTGTAATGTACCTACATCATGAAGAGTTTTTTCCATCGTTTTCCAGACACCCGGTATAAACACTCTGTATATGAAAATTTAATTTCAGTTATACCTGAACAAAACGCGTACCTTGATTTATGTCTGCACAAAGTAATCCAATACAGTTGTTAGAAATAACCCTACAGCGATTCCATTTCAAGAAAATTTGAATAACTTGGCAACATCACATCAGTATTTCAAAAATAAATTGTATTTGCAAAGTCTACGAAGAGGTCGATCAAAATATATAAAAATATATACGACCTTTCATTTAAAAATAGAACACTCAGTATAGTACAACCGTACAACTTTGACCTTTGACTATTTCTTCTATTTTTAATAATCAATGACATTTCGAGAAACGTGCGCTTAGTGACTCAGCCTGTATGTAATTTGGATGCTGCGACAAAAATCTCAAGGCGGATTCATAAACAACAATTATAGGAATAAAATTTAAGGGGATTTCATGACACCGTTGATAGGGATGTCTAGGCAAATTCTGGTTACCTTTTTACCGTCTACATGATATTCCTAACGTAAATATGAAATTTGACAACAATCGGTCCTGTAGTTTCATAGTTTGTCAATAAAATTAGATAGACATACAAAAACGAAAGACCTCTTGTTCCTCTAGGGGTCATGAAACGTCGAGAAAACATGAAAGTAACCAACTGGCCGATGAACTCGATTACAATACTTTCTTAACTAGAAAAATAAAAATTGAGGTTCTCTTTCTCCGTAGGTCCATCATATAAAGTATGTGTATCTGGGTCCGATTTTACGAATTATATTATAATAAGTCAGTGAAATGGAGATAAGAAATGGGCGGAGCTGAGTTTAGGTTTTCTAAAGAGTCTTATAAGCAAAGAGTAGCCCCGCCCAGCGACCCCCTCCTCATTCCAGTGACTACTCTTAATCTTATCTTGGCCAGTACTTGCCCCGCCCACCCACCCTCTATTTTCTTACAGGGTATGCGATTTGCCAAAATTAGTTTTATCTTAGCATGTACTAGCCCTGCCCACCCGCCCTCTATCTTTTTAGAGGGTATGTGATTTGCCAAGTACTAACAAAAAAATTTAAAAAAATCGCCCGGTATTTATTGTTAAGTAAAAAATTATTAAATAAGTATGTTCAGTTCTGTAAAAGTAAATGTAGCTTGACTTGTGACATTAGTTATGGCAATAACACGGTTTTATTTTTGACTTTTTTTTCCTGAAAATTCTAAAAACATAATTAGTGTTATATTGTTCATACCAAAATTAATACATTTACTCCCACTACAAAATGATGAAATATTTTTTTACTTTTTGACATTTGAGTTAGATGATCTCAGAAACGGCGACAATGTCTTTCAAAGTCTCTAATAACCTATTTTGACAGGAAGTAGCTCGATGTTACGAAAATAATGCTCAAATTAAAGTCATTCAACTTTAATTTAATCGTTTAAATTGTTACAAACCCCCTGAAAATATATTTGGGTTATTAGATAGACATCTTTTTATTTTTAATCGAATACTTTTGAATTTTTCAATAAAAAAATTTAACTCATTTTCCACTACACTGTTAGCGATTGCGTTGAAAATTGTGATTACAGTAAAAACATTGAAGTGTTTATTTTAATTGAATATATTTAATTGTTTATTTAATTCTAATTACCTTTTTCTACTTTCCCGCAATGTTCTTATTGTTTCTCGTCGGCAAACACCAACATTAAACTACTTTTTCCCCACAACCTGAATTCCGTGGCAGAACAAAGACTGCGTAAACAACTCCCCCAATTGTAAATTTTGATTACATTTAACTCTCGTTCCTTTCAGCTGCTATCGAAAAGGGCGGCGGCACGTGCATGATATGCTGGCCCCGGAAGAGAGGTCCGGGCGCCATCGCCGTGGGCCCTCCGCAATGCCCTCACAGCCAGGTCTCCAGCACCCGGAGCTCCTTGGCTAGCTCGCCGCACAGCCAGTGCCCTACGCCCTTACCCTTTCTTGTCACTTCAGGATCAGTGGGGTGAGTGTAACAAAAACCGCTCAAGATTTAGTCATTAAGTATGCTTTACGTGCTGCCGTACAAAACGTTGTTTATTGATTATTCAGCCAAGTTTATCTCAACCGCACAGAATTACGGAAATCCAAATAAACAATAGAGCGTGTACGATGCGGTCGAGAATATTGCGTCGATAAATGCGCTGGTTATTTTATCAATTAGCGGCAATATTTTGATGTTATTGGAGTTTGGTGGCGTTTTATGCGACCGCGGTTCGATTTAGTGGCAGTTTGATATGGAAATAACTTCCGGTCGAGTTTGATTTGAAAATTTCTAAACCAAACGGGGCATTTGAAGGTCATTTATAAATAACAAGAGAGGAAAAGGACCTGTGATTGATCCCTGGAGTGCCCCTGATTAACAGTTTTTGTTTTAGAGCTAGTTGCACCGGTTTAAACCAAGTGTATCTGGATAAAAACGGTTGTTAGAGTGGAAATACTACGAGATGAATTTTAACTACTTTAAAATATTTATTTAAAAAAAAACTATGATTTCTCTTTCAAAAATAAAACACCGTAGGCCCCCGAGATTCTTTAACATTTTTTCCAAAAGAAATGCCAAGAGCCTGCAAAATTTTTTTCATCTTCTTAAAAAAACGACTAGGGGGCACCAAGATTATTTTGAACTTTTTCAAAAACAAAAGATCAGTGACTTCCGAATTTTTTTAATTTTTTTTGTAAAACAAAACCAGGGATCTGTAAGATTATTTCACATTCTTAAATAAAGACACCAAGGACCCGCAAGAGTCTTTACAATTTTTTCACAAAAAAAATGGCAGAGGCTTCCGAGATTGTTAAACATATTGCTAACAAAACAATCCAAAGATCCCAAGATTCTCTGGTATTGCTAAAAAAACCTTAGGGAGTAGCAAGATTCTTTCAAACTTTTTCAAAAATAAAACAGCAGGGGCCTTCGAGATTCTTCAATTTTTTTTCTAAAACAAAACGCCAAGAGCTTCCAAGATTTTTTCCATATTCTTAAAAAAAGACAAGGGGCACCAAGATTCTTAAAAAAGACACCAAGGGCCCACAAACTTCTAAATTCTTTCAAAAATAAAATGTCAGAGGCTTCCGATTTTTTTTTCCTTCTTCTAAAAGACACACCAAAGATCCGAAAGATTCTTTCGTATTGCTAAAAAAACACTATAAGAAGCAGCAAGGTTCTTTCAGATTTTGTCAAAAATAAAACACCAAAGGCTTCGATATTCTTTAAAACGTTTTGTAAAACAAAACATCAGGCAACCTAATATTCCTGAAAAAATCCTAGAGAGCCCCATGACTCTTTTAACTCTTTTAAAAATAAAACACCAGTGGTCCCCGAGATGCTTTAATTTTTTTTTCTAAAACAAAATACCTGGAACCTCCAAGAATTTTTTATATTATTAAAAAAAGAAAAAGGCCCTAAGGTTCTTAAAAAAAAACATCAAGGGCACACAAGATTCTTTTAAACTCTTTCAAAAATAAAACACCATAGGTCCCCGAGATTTTTTAAACTTTTTTCGAAAGAACAATACCAAGAGCTTCCAAGATGTTTTCATATTCTTAAAAAAGACAAACAGGGCATCAAAATTGTTTAACAAAACACCAAAGGCCCACAAATTTCTTTAAAACTCTTTCAAAAATAAAATGTCACAAGCTTCCTAGATTCTTAAAAAAATTTGGGAAAAGAAATACCAAAGATCCTCAAGATTATTTCAAACTTTTTCAAAAATAAAACACCAAGGATCCCCGATATCTTCAAAAAATCTAAAACAAAATACCAAGATCCTCCAAGATTTTTTCGTATTCTGAAAAAAAAACACAAGGGGCAGCAAAATTCTAAAAAAGAAAACACCAAAAGTAAAATGTCAAAGGTCTCCGAGATTCTCAATTTTTTTCCCAAAATAAATACCAAAGCTCCGTAAGATTCTTTCACTTTCTTAAAAAAAAAGATCCTAGGGAGACCTTGATTCTAAACTCTTTCGAAAATAAAACACCAAGGAACCTCGAGATTCTTAATAAATTTTTTTCGGAAGCACAATACCAAGAGCCTCCAAAATTTTTTCATGTTCTTAAAAAAGACAAGGAAACCCACAAGATTCTTTTAAAAGCAAAGTATCAGAGGCCTCCGAGATTCTTAAAAATTTTTGGGAAAAGAAATACCAAAGATCTTTAATATTATTTCAGACTTTTTCAAAAATAAAACACCAAGGATCCCCGATATCTTCAAAAAATCTAAAACAAAATACCAAGATCCTCTAAGATTTTTTCGTATTCTGAAAAAAAAAACACAAGGGGGCAGCAAAATTCTAAAAAAGAAAACACCAAAAATAAAATGTCAGAGACCTCCGAGATTCTCAATTTTTTTTTTTCCAAAAGAAATATCAAAGCTCCGTAAGATTCTTTCACTTTCTTAAAAAAAAAGATCCTAGGGAGACCTTGATTCTAAACTCTTTCGAAAAAAAACGCCAAGGAACCCCGAGATTCTTTATAAATTTTTTTCGAAAGCACAATACCAAGAGCCTCTAAATTTTTTTCAAATTCTTAAAAAAGACAAGGAGACCCACAAGATTCTTTTAAACTCTTTTAAAAGTAAAATATCAGAGGCCTCCGAGATTCTTAAAAATTTTTGGGAAAAGAAATAGCAAAGATCCTCAAGATTATTTCAGACTTTTTCAAAAATTAAACACCAGGGGCCTTCGAGGTTCTTTAAAACGTTTTGTAGGCCAAAAGACCAGAGATCCTAAGACTCTTTCACTTAAAAAAAAAAGATCGTAGGGAGACCCATGATTCTTCCGAACTCTTTAAAAATTACAACAAGAGGGGTTCCCGATATCTTTAAAAAATCTAAAACAAAAACCAAGATCCTCCAATATTTTTTCAATTTCTTAAAAAAAAAAAGACAAGGGGCCACAAGATTATTTTAAACTCTCAAAAATAAAATGTCAGAAGCCTCCGACATTCTTAGTATTTTTTCCTAAAATAAATTCTAAAGATCTCCAACATTCTTTCAAAAATAAAACACCAGGGGCTTTCCAGATTTTTAAAAATGTTCTGTAAAACGGAGCATCAAGGATCCTAAGATTATTTCACTTTCTTAAAAAAAAAATCTTAGGGAGCCTCATGATTCTTCCAAATTTTCAAAAATAAAACACCAGGCATTTCCTACCTTCTTAAAAAAGTTTTCTAAAACAAAGTACCATGAGTTTCCAAAATGTTTTCATATTCTTAAAAAAAAAAATACAAGGATGAACCAAGATTCCTTTAAAAAAACACAAGATTCTTTTAAACTCTTTCTCTGAGATTCTTAATATTTTATCTAAAAGAAATACCAAAGATCCCCTAGATCACTTCACTTTCTTAAAAAAAAAATATCCAAGAGAGCCTCATTATTCTTATTCTTCTAAACCCTTTCAAAAATAAAACATCAGAGTTTCTTTAAATTTTTTCTAAAACAAAATACCAAGAGCCTCGCAAGATTTTTTCATATTCTTGAAAACAGACAAGGAAGCACCAAGATTCTTAAAAAAAAACACCAAAAGCCTACTAGTGCAAAATATTCATAAACCATGGAACGTCTCGGACCTTACTATTACAGTTTCCGCCCCCTAAATTTTTTTGCAGATGGACCTGTCCAGACACTTTTACGTCCACTGCGGCGCTTTGTTATGCTGATCTTCTCAAAGCATTTACACTCTACTTTAATTACTTCGTTGACAATTAACTGTAACACACGTTAAGTGGATTTTCGTGTTGTAAATTATAAAATAAATATTTTCTAACATAGTTTCTACGCACTCCAATGAAGTATCGCTTGCTTGAAGCCGGAAATATTAGGTTTTCTAATTTAAGAAAAAAAAATGAAAATGGAGTAATAAATTAAGAGTAAGAATCCTGTAATTAAGTAAGAAATCAGACACCCATCGAAAAACCTCGTAATGGTGTCACTGTGTCATTTTGAAATTACCAGCTACCTTGACTATAAAAAAAATCGTAAAAATCGTAAGCCCGCCGTTAACAAACAATTATCTACATTTATATCATGCTTAAAACCAATTAAAAGTCAATACCCTTTACGCTCTGTTGTAAATTTACAGTTAGCACCGGAAACACTGAATATGTAAAAGAACTTATCGCTCTTACTCCACCTCGGGCACCGTCTTCCATAAAAACGCTTTGAATATACCAGCGTGGGGAAAATTTCATAAGCTCTTGAAATATGATAAGTACAGATGTTTTTCCGATTCAGAGCGTGGATAGCGAGATATGAATCAATACCAGGAGGAAAAGTCGGGCGAGCTCTTGTGTAATACCGTGTTTTCTAACTTTCGTCATATTTTCGCCACCCACTTCTGCACGTTCAATTTATTTTTATTTTTACTCGTTTATTTTATGGAGCTCGTCTTGGATTCCCTCAATTATGGCGAATTGTAGCGATCGTGACGTCGTAAGCGCTAAACTAGATCGCTTTTGTATTTTGGACGAAACCTGAGTAGGTGCACACAAACAAGATGAGTAATGTGGTTTGAGGTTTGCTCAAAGTACGGGATTTGCTGATCTGCCGCTTCCGAAATGACTATTTAATGTTGTTTACTGATATTATCAGTGTTGGTGGAATTATCCGCATAGGCAGGATTCGGGGGAAGTTATTAAAGCGAGAGCGCCTCTCGCATTTTTCATTTTCTGAAACGCAAATTTCAGCAGCCTGTCAGTCGGAACATCTGCTTGTTTATTGGTCACATTTTCGTCAAAAAAATGGAAATTTTGTTTGGCATGAGGTTGCTACAAGCAGGTTGACAACAGATTCTAAAATGTGCAATTCCCGGCTTCTAAGTGCTTTGTGAAATCTCGTAAAGTCCGTTTTATAGCGTCAACATTACTCAGTAATTGATATCACCACGATATCCAAGACCCATATTCTAAAAATAGCCCATTTTCGTATTAAATGTTTAGATCGTTAACCTGGCGGTTGAAAATAGCCCCGAA